TTATGTGAGCTACTCTGTTCGGTCACACACACACACCCTGATATGATGACAGAACTCTCTGAAACCATGCTCCAAAATAAATCATGCTTCCTTTAGTCTTCCTGTCTGGTAAATTGCCACATTGGTGAGAAAAGTAGTAAACATATATATTTAATATAGATATTTCATATTTAAATTATATCTCAAGAAAAGTTCCCCAACTTCCTTTCTCTGTTTCTCTCTCTCTCTCTCTCTCTCTCTCTCTTCTTTCTCTCTCTCCTACTTATACTTAATGAAACTCTTGTGGTGGTTAAATAAGATTGGCCTCAAGAGGCTCATATATTTGAACGTTGGGCATTAGAATGCATGTCCTTGTTGGAGTAGGTGTAGCAGTGTTGGAGAAGTGTGTCACTAGCAGTGGGTTTTGGGGTTTCAAATACTCAAGCCATATTCAATGTCTCACATTTCCTGCTACCTGCTCATCAAATGTAGAACTCCAGTACCATGTTTACCTGCATGCAGCCAGGCTTCCAGCCATGATGACAGTGGACTAAACCTCTGAATCTCTAAGCCATCCCCAATGAAATGCTTTCCTTTATAAGAATTGTTATGGATAACCATAAGGTATCTCTTCACAGTAATAGAAATCCTAACCAGTAGTGCAAATCTAATTGGTCTTAAAAATAAAAAACTCAGATTCAGATATCAGGGCAAATGCTGAAAGATCAGTGAAGTAAATGATCCAGCCACTAGAGAGACCTTTTACCTCTACCAAATACTCAGATGAAAGGTGATGATCCTGTCTCTATAAGTCCTCAGATTGAATGGGGTATCCTGTGTCTACAAATCTTCAAACCGAATGCCTTGTGCTCCCTTCTTGTCTCTTCTGGCCTTATCTTCCTCTCCCTGCTCAACCATATCCCTTCCTGTCTCCACCTACTTCATGCTGGTATTAAAGGCATGTGATTCCCAAATACTGGGATTAAAGGGAAACCACCTCCTGGCTCTGTTTTTGTGGACTGGATTAATCTACATTAGCTCAGGATGGCCTTCATCTCATAGAGATCCCTCTGCCTCTGCCTCTACCTCTGCCTCTGTAGAGTGCTGGAATTAAAGATGTGTGCTACCATTGCTGGCCTCTATGGCTAACTAGTAGCTTAGCTCTGCATTCTGATCTTTAGGCAAGCTTTATTTGTTAGATCACAAACAAATATAACCACACTAACTAATAAAGAAGCTGGTACTAGAAACTGGGGTATTGTGATAAACTGAAACATATTTTCATTTGAAATATGGAAAACTTTGGAACTTTGAACTAGAAAAGCAATTGTTTACTTTAAGTGGGGTTTAATTGGCGGTGCTAGTAGGATCATGGAAGTCAGTGGAGCTGAGGGTGATTTGACCTGTGAGGGTCTAGCTCAAGAAGTTTCAGAGGAGAAGAATGTTAGTATGTGGCCTAGAGACTGTTGTTGTGTTATTTTGGAGAAGAGCATGGCTTCTTTATGCCTTTGTTAAAAAATGTGATTGTATTCATTTTTATTTACATATTTAAACTCTGAATTATAGTTAGAGATAGAGAGAGAGAGATAGATAGAGAGAGAGAGAGAGAGAGAGAGAGAGAGAGAGAGATAGAGAGAGAGAGAGAGAGAGAGAGAAAACAAGGGAGGGAGGGAAAGGAAGGAAAAAGGGACAAATTCACTTTATATTCACTTTATGTTCTTAACCTAGTCTTGTTTTTAAGATAAATTTTCCAGCACAATCAGAAACAATCAACCCAGCATCTATAATATATGCAATCACTACATTCCCTTCCAGGCTTTACAAGGGAGTTTCCCTTTCCTTTAAGGGCTCATCAGGATTAGATCTCCGTCTGTGTTGTGTCTGTTGAGTGCTCTATCTGCACCTTAAGGAGGCTCCTTCACAATCTTGAGGCCCTTTCATCCTAAGAAACTCCATTCTTGTCTATGGTCATACCACCTGAACGGGCCTGATCTCATACAATAAAACTCTTTCTTGAATTATGAAGATTTGCCTGCTTCCATTATGAATTGGTCACCTCTGTTCCTGTGTTATATTTAAACCACATCACCCTTACACATGTCAACAGTCAAGCCTGGACCGACTAGATGTGGTCATTCACTGGATATGTAGTTATAATTTTAAGATTGGTTAGCCTTTTTTTCTTCTTAAGTAACTGAAAGTGATTTTGTAATCATAAAATTTACCTAAGAAATAGATGCTAAAAGTATCTTTCACAGTGTTCCTTTAAGAAACAATAGATTTATCTTTCCTGTGGCGCTAGAGTGTTCAGACCATTGAAAATATTCAGAGTCACTGTTCTAAATACAGCAGTGGTTTAGGCAAAGAGGCAGAACATTTAGAAGGAATGAACATACTTCTCTGTCCAAGGCTTCTTGGAGATGTTTAGAGTTAGGGGTAAGCTACCATATCTTTAAGCTGCCATTTCACTTTTCTATAGTTACAACAAATCATCACGTCTATTTTGACTATAGACCCATAAATTTACAAACAGCCAAGGCTTTGTTTTGCATAATGTATATTTTGGTCCATTTTGTTTTTACATAAAAGAATTCTATTTTGTACAGTGGTGATTCCCTTCTTCTCTTTGGCTGAGTCACCTTACCGTATTTTGAAGATGAAGGGCATCGTTCCTAACTCGTTAAGGAGAAATCTGTGTGTCTCTGAAAAAATGTACCCTCCCGCCGCCGCAGAAGCTTTATCACGCAGGTTCCTTGTATTTCTCAGAGAAGAAATGGAAGGGAAACACAGCAGCTACAAAATGAGACACACCTTCTGAGAAAAGGCAGCATGTGACAGATCACGGATGGAAGCTGCTATGGAGGACACAAATGCTACTCTCAGTCTTCCTGGTCACCATGAGGTGTGAGCTGGTCAGTCACACTCTCAGTCATCTCTCTCCTACCTGCTGGAGAGGAGTTTTCTAAAATAGAAAGGTGCAGGAAGCCATGAAAACATTCACAACCGGTCAGAGTGCAGAGAATGAGAGTCTATGGAACGCCCATCTATAAACGGGACTTCTACATCACACCCCTTTCCCTGCAAGGCTCAAGAAACATCACAGAAGAGGAGACAGAAAGATTTTCTGGGCCAGCACGCAGGGAGAACTGAAGTAAAACAAGATTTTCTTGACCTAAGATAACCTTTGTGTTCATGAACGTTTAGCAGCTGTTGCTTGCCTGAGCAAGGCTTGCACGAGATTAAACCAATCAACATTTCAGCATGAATGGGGACTGGCTATTTAAAGTTGATGGTTGCTAGTTTCCTTTAGGGTGTGGCTCCTGTTATGTTGCATGCTCAGGTGCATGACCCATACCCATGTACATATGGGTCCAACTAATTGGACACATTGTGGTCTTTTTTATTTTAAAAACAAAAGGATGAGTGGAGGGGAATCAGGAATGAATTGGAGTGTGGGAGAGGAGTATAATCTAAATACATTGTATATATGTAAGAAATTTCCAAAGAATAAATTAAAATAGTATATTTTCAAAGGTCCCAGAGGGGCTAAGGAGTTAGTTGAAAGCACTTGCAGCTCTTACAGAGGACCCGAGTTTGGTTCCCAGCTCCTTCAAGGTGGCTCACAACTGTAACTCCAGTTCTAGGATATCTGACATCCTCTTCTGGGTTCTGCAGGCACCAGGCAAACATATGGTGTAACAGGCAAACAAAACACACATACACATAAATAAATCTTTAAAAATAAGTAGGAAATTCTCAGAGTGGAACTACCAAGTGCTTGCCTTCATTTGTTTCTTTGGCTTAATTTTTAGCCGTTAGCCCTTCTGTCTGCTACTATGAATCTAGGACATGGAATTCACGAACCAATTCTCAAAGCAAAACCAACTGTTTTACCCAGGAAGCCTTTACCATTTTGGTCTGGCAACATTTTTATTTTTTATCACTAAGATATTCCCAAGCCTGGAAAATATAGACTATTCTTGCAGAGCTGTGTCTGGGCTTCAGAGCTATGAGCCACCTACATCTTAGCAGTCTAAAAGTTGGCCATTGGTTCAAACCTGGCCTAGGTTGTACACTGAATGTTCAACAGCAACTTCACTGGACTCTTTTTGGTAGGAATAAAGGCATTATCATAAAATTTCAAAGCAAGCTTTTTCTAGCAATAAAACATGGTCACCTTACCTTTCAGCACCACATGGAAATTAGCACTCATGATTGATAAAACTGTTATAGTTGAACATGTGGTTACATAGAAGAGTAATGATGCATCTTCCCCATAAAAGTAATTAAAATTTAATATAATTTATACTACATTACCCTGTATATTGGTGTTCTTGCTGTGAACAAATGCTTGATCACTTATGAGAAGTTTAATTTAGTTTGTGACATCATCAGATATCTGTCCCGCTTGGCAAAAGTACATGGTAGTCATGGCTGCTGTGTCTGTGGTAGGAAAGGCATGGTAACCATGGCTGCTTTGTCTGTTGTGACAGGAGATAACCACATGGGCTATTTACTCATGTGCTTACAAGGAAGCCCAAAGCCTGGACTAGCTCCTGAGTAAATACCAACATCACGATGTTTAAGAACTGCCACCTAGTTCTGCTAGTTAGGACCCACGTCCATATGATTCTGTTACCTCCCAACACACACTGTCCCGCTGGTGACAATGTGTTTAAACATATGAGCCTGTAGGGTAAATTTCACTACTCAGACACAACACTATGTGATTAAAATTATTTAGAGGTAAGAGCATGTTTCAAATGCCTGTCAGCAACAGAAGTAGAAAGAATCCTGGGTTTGTGTAGCACAAAGCCTCTGAAACATTACACACATCCAAACAAAAAGCTACCACAAAAGCCTAATGAATTATGGTTAAATTTGCATGGCTTTGAAGCTATAGATGCAGAGGACACTGTCTGCTTGCCCAAAGGGGATGACAGGAGGAAGGATAGCCAGAAATAGGTATGAGGGGGTTTGCCGAAATGATGAAAATATTCAAGCATTATTAGATGGTGGTTTTTATTGAAAAGTTTTAAACTGAATGCAATTCCATCAAAATGCACACTTAAAATTGGTGATTTTACAGCAAATGACATGCACACAAAGCTTTAAACAAAAGTCTCGGATTGTTCTGTTCTTCTGCTACTACTTCATACACTTCTCTGCCTTTTATTTGTGATCAGACAAAACCACTTTTCATTCTGTGATCTTCTCTTGAAACTCACCCAAATATAGCATCTCTATATCTCTCTCCTTCTGTCTGCCTGGCTGGCTCACTCACTCAGTCATTCAATTATTCAACCAAACTATACTGAGCATCTCCCAAGTATCAAGCCCTATACTAGGTGCTGAAAGTGAAGAGGGTCCTCTGTCCTCTGCTGGGGCTGCTCTCACCCACCCTACCTCCTGCTTCCATCTCCCTGGCACAGGAGAGATATTCTGTAAATTGTTTCAATTCTCTGCAGATTATACTTTGGAGTACCAATCTTTTATACTTTAATGACTCCATCCTTAGAACACTCAATGAAGTAAAAAATAAGAAAACAGTTGATGTATTTATTTGTCGTCATTGATTTAGAGTTTTTTTTTTTTTAAAAAAATTATCAAATAACGCCAATGGTTCAGACCTTGGCTCTTCCAGGCCAGCTCACAATTCCTCTCAGTGACAACTGAGGTAGTGCTGGATTTGAGTAAATGTTTTTATTTTGAAGGAAACTCTTCCAAATTCACTTTAGAAATGTCTAACAAGCCATATCTGGTCCTTTTGAATAGAAATATATTTCCCAAAGTCAACGGCGTTGAAGGACTCTATAGAAGTTGTGTCAGTTGCATTTTCCAGGCTGTCCATTTACTCTCCCTGCAATATTCTCTTCTTGTAATCAAATGTATGGACATAGAGCTAAATGCTGGCGTGCAAATGAACAAGGCCTAGAACTTGTCCCCCAGTGTTTACAATGAGACGCGAACAACATGAAAACAGAACCACTATGAAAACATCTGTGATCCATGGGTGTTAGTATTATATACATACAGCTGCAGGATAGATGTGCTTCTGAGCTGATTTTCAAAAGATATGAAGATATAATTATATAGTGGGTAACAGGGTATTATTTTAGAATCATCTGAGAGAAGGTAGTCCCAATTGAGACAACACCTCTGTAAGATTAGCTTCTAGGTAAGCCAATGGGGGCATTTTCTTAATTAATGATTAATGTAGGAGGGTCAAGACCATGGTGCTCAGTACCACCTACAGGCAGGTGGTTCCAGGACATATAAGAAAAACAAAATAAGCAATTCAGGAGAAGCAGATTTGTAAGCAGTGTTTCTCCATCGTTTCTGCTTTGGTTTTTACCTCCAGGCTCCTGTTCTGATTTCCCTCAGTGATGGGCCATTTTCTAGAAGTGTAGGAAGTGTAGGAAGAAATAACCCTTATGCTCTTCAGGTTGCTTGTGGTCACAGCATTTTAGCCCAGCAATAAAAATCCTAACTAAGGCAGGTATCCAAGGTGAGGGAACAAAACATACAAACATTATTGTAATGTGAGGTATGGCTGATGGAGTCACTCAAGAATATTAACATCTACTTCTCCCAGTGTTGAATGAGGAAAGACACTGGTGGAGTCAGGAAAATACACTTTGTGTCAATGTTCACTGTGAAGAATTCAAGTAAACAAGTAACTCGAAGTCCAGACTGACAGAATACAAGGAAAAGGTGAAGGCGAGAGGGGAAAGTTACCCAGGGCTGCTCTCTGCTCCCTTCCCTTCCAGAACTGATCAAGAATATAGCTGGTAAGAGGTCGTTCTGGCACCTGTTACCCCATAAAAACAACCATTCCACAGATGTTTATTAAATGATGCTCTAATGAGTGTTATGTGGCTGTCACAGTCTAACTTACTCACTTAAATACATGTCTTCTGAGAGTATTTTGTTTCTCACTTTTCATCTGTGCTAAAGAAAGCTATCTGTAGCCAGTCACCTGTGCTTCTAAAATTATCTTAGATTTATTTGTTTTATTTTATGTGTGTATATGTTGCCTACATACATACATTCGTGTGTCTACAGGTGTGTTTGTATATCTTGCGTGTGCCTGCTATCCACAGAGGTCAGAAAGGGGTATCAGAGCCCCTGGAATTAGAGCTACAGGCAGCTGTTAGGCACCATACAGGTACTAGGAACTGAGCCTGGTCCTCTGTAAAACCACAATCCTCACAACCACTGAGTCATCTCCTCAGCCCTTTCTTCAATCTAGTGACTAAATGGTGCTACTAGCCATAAGTACAAACACAATGATTATATAAATGACACTGGTGAGGATAATTTTGTGCACAATTTTAATATTTTCCCATACCCTGGATCTGGTTTTTTTTCATACAAAAATGAACATTGTTAAAATTTGAAGCTCTAGCATTTTATAAAAAAAAACAATCTTTTTGAAGTGAAGTATATGTCTTTTAAAATCTCAAGCAAAGGCTGAGAATTTGGCTTCCTCTCCAACGAGCCCACCCTTTTGGAGAATGAGAAAGAAATCCATGTACAGATGAACATGCAACACAATTATCAATTCAGAGCAGTCATCCCCAGGGCTGCACTTTCCTTTGAATGCACATATGAAGCTTTCTCTGGTCCAGTTTCCACACTTGCCTTTACCTTACTGTTCATTCATAAATTAGAGATTATGTTGATTTTAGAAACAACACAGCATCCCCATGGATGCTGTGGAGTTCTTCACAATAAACATTGCACTTTCCTGCTGTTCAAAGACTTTTTTATGAAACTGCTTCTACCTCCTTTCCTGGTGTTTTTCTTTGTAGTATGCAGCTTGGCTTCCAGTAGAGCACGCACACTGCAAAACTCTTCCTGCACACACTGATGTTTTCATTTCACACAGTGCCCAGCCCTTTTGACCCTGTCTTCAAACCTACTCTGAATCATGGATGTTGACCGGTAGAAGGATTCTCATCCAGGGTCATTCATCAAAGGAGAATCTTTATATAAATCAAGCCTGCACGAGGAGAAAAAGAAAAGAAAAGAAAAGAAAAGGACTGTGAAATTTGGTGCCATCTGTGAAAATTGTATGTTTGGTTAGAATTTCTTTGGAAATACCTTAAATTCAGGTCCAAGAATGATGTTTAAAGCCTTGGAAGGTGAGCACCTTCAGATAGATTTTTCACTAATAAACAATCAGGATCTGTCGCTGTGACCAAATGCCACATTTAAAAACAATTCTGGCACCCCTTTTTCAAAACCCATCTGAATATGAGAAACAAAGGTGTGACCATCCAAAGACCTAATATTTAAACTGGGGGTGGTGGGGTGAAGCAAATCAGGGCTCCTAAAAGTATGCAGGAAATATAGGATTTCAACTGTGTTTCTTATGCAGTGCTCATTAATAGCTATCAGCACAAGAAACTAAAGAAGAGCCACGGCAGGAATGAAAAGATTAGCAGGATGAGGATTTCTCTGGATTAGCAGAAACAATGGCAAGGTAGACATCGTTTAAATGGAATTAAGCTTGCCAAGTCTGGTAACTCTGGAACAGGAGCAGAGAGAGGAGCACTTTGTCTCTAAATTTCTCTTCTGAGAAGGGTAGGGATATGATGATTTAGAAACACAGCAGGCAGGCTGAAGCCTTGAGATGAGCTGCCCTTTCTCGGGTTCTAAATGGAGAGACCTAAGTAAGAGGCCAGTGTCTTTTCTCTAATAAGGAGCTGAAAAGAATAACAAGGTGGTGCCTGAAGCAAGAGCTGCAGGAACCGGGCCCTGCGTGTCACAGAAATATTAGCATTTATGGGCAGAGCAGCCAATGAGTTCAGAGTAATGCAAAGGAGGACAATAGATCAACATTTCAGGTTTGACTGAAGCAGAAATCAGAAAGAGACTAAAAACACACTTGTGCATCGGTATTGGTATTTCTTTCAATCTTGCTTTTCAAAACTAAGGGGGGGGGCTTTACATGTCATTTTAAAATGAGGAATTTCTGGTTTTGCACTGTGAGATCAAAGTTAAGTATTAGTAAAAAGTGACATGCAAATATATGTTTCATATGTGTATTCATTTTAAAAAGTCATATTCAGTATAGAAGCTCTTGTTTCCCTTAATCTCAAATTCAGTTTAGATGATTTGCCACCAATCTTCTCTACTTGGGAGTGACTCCCTACATCGTGGTATCCTATTTTCTATGAAATAATAGCTATGAAAGCATTCACAGTTAAGTTGTTGTATGTATATACATGAATTTTAAAAGAGACGATATTGTGATGGTGCGGTACAGAGATTCTCTGTAAGCAGAGAAAAATGAGATACCGTAAGTGCTCCTCTTATCAGCCATCGCAGTGGGCACGAGCTCCTCATGAGGACACAGGGGCACGCACACCTTCATAGCAACATTTCCAGTGAGCACTAGGTCTACTAAGGAGACTCGCCTTCTCCCAAGTCTGTCTTAAACTACAGACCTAGAAATTTTAGAACACGTACAGTAAGCACACGAGTGTATCATACAAGTGAAAAAAATTTTTCCTCACTATGAAAACTTTCAGCATAATATTTTTTGGATCAAAGAATAAAACACTGCAGGATACTCTTTCTCTTTTAAAAGACTCTCTTTCCTCTATTCATTGTCTTCATGATGCTCGATGTTCTCAGAGAAACAGCCTTTGGCAGTGGTTATCAACCTGTGAGCCATGACCCCTCTGAGGGTTGAATGGACTTTTCACAGGAGTTGCATAGTAGATCTCCTGGAATCAGATGTTTACATTATGATTCATAACAATAACAAAGTTACAGTGATGAAGTAGCAACATAAATAATGCAGTGGTTGGGGTTAACCATGCTTAAGAAACTGTATTGAGGGGTCACAGCATTAGGAAGGTTGAAGACTACTGGTCTATGAAATGACTCTATAATCCTTGTGCTGATAATACACATCAAAGAAGTAGGGGAGTTAGTGGTCTGGGGAGACTTTGATCAGAAAACACAAGGACCTTGGGAATAAATCCTTCTTCTTCTCTCCCATTTGCAGACATGTTACCAAAGATTCAAAACACCAACAATGGTCTGCCTTTGAAACTAAAGTTATTTCAATAAAATAATACTCTGCAATCCCCTTTTTTCTCTTCCTTCCTCACTTCTTTCCCTTTATCCTTTGTTATTTCTGGATGAATTCACTTATAAATATATATGTAAATATATAGTTTTATGTTTACAGTTTTATATATAGTTTTATATTTATAGTTATATAGTTATACATATGTATAAGTATATTTTTTTGTCTTAGATCTTGGTTTTTAACACTAGGACAGGCTACCTGACGATTTTTATTTCTTTGATAGAATGGTACTTATAGCTCCAAGGACATACTCAATCAAAAGGCTTCAAGTCATTTAAATTTTTAAAAAGGACAGATTTATTGGTATTTTTTCTAGGAATAAAAGAAAAGGAAGCATGAAAAGAAATGATCTAAGTGCAATTTACAGATATAACAGATGTTACCCTAACTTTGTCTTTTGGAAGGAATAAAATGTTGACACATCTTGATTTATAAAAAATAACCATTGCTTATTAATTCCATATGTTCACATGAGATGGGAAAATCATTACATTGTAGTCCCCGAAGTATTAGTCCCCATAATAGATTTCCCCAAGGGTGTTCTTTGTCCTCCTACGCAAAAATTCTATATATGCCAAAGTTCTCCACACACATCAGAAGGATCTCAGACTTGCTCACTGCATAGCCTCTTCACTCTGCTTGCAAGACCTTCTTTCTCTTACGCACACGGGTGGAGGGTTGATGGAGGAAGAGAGAGAAGAGGAAGAAAACTTTCTGCCTGAATTTTCTGATTCAGATTCAGGGATTTCTCTTTGTGACCTACCCCGTTGCTCTTCTTCCTAATTGCAAAGTTAAGGGCTCTTGCCACGACAGTCATAATTTTCTATTCATGTATTCATACTTGTAGTCTCTCTTCCTTAATATTTCTTATAATTATACTTTGGATTCTTTCTGTACATTTTGTCACTTTTAACACCCCCAAATATCTTATGATTTCTGAGACATAATAAAATGGGGGGAAGGAGATGAGAAGTTACCAGGATAGGAGAGAAAGGAGATTAGAAAGATTGGGTCACCTTCCATTCATCTCCATGTTTTGGATTTGAAACAGGAAACTTAAAATTAAAATAAAGTATTATATATATATATTTTGAAACAGGAAACTTAAAATTAAAATAAAGTATTATATATATATATATATATATATATATATATATTAGAGTCCAAAAAAATTAGGATTTCAATCCACCACACTAGAAAATAATTTAAATTACGCCTCAGGAGGCTTTATTTTTTTTAATTGAAACATAGTTTTGAGGGATAATAGAAATCAACAAAAAGATTAGCTTTCCCAAAATTTATTTTGCAGGAAATTATTCAGAAATATCTTAAATGTATATTAGATATTGCATTTTCCAAAGTTTAAAATGGAGAAAATTGGCACCAAGAGTTAGAACAAATCATCTTGCCCCTAATAAAAAACAGCCAATCCCAAAGAAAGGATTGAATCTTGCAAATGCTGTTTGCCATGGCTAATATGGTTGAACCCTAGCAGACAAATGTTCTCCTCCTCCTGTTGCTGCTGCTGCTATGTTGAAAAATCTGGGGAGTATAGTTCAGATGCATTGACACCCTCCTAAAAGAAAGAGTTGAGCCATACCTGCATCTCAGACAGCGTGAGACAGGCAATCGTTTCCAGAATGAGACAGGGGTGCCCTCGAATGATTTAGAGACCGAGAAGGCGGCAACTGCTATGTTTGATTGTGCTAACCTGTACATAATTATGTAATTACCTACTAAAATTTAGTCAGAGTGTTGCATATCTGAATCATTAACTTTAACAATTGACAAGCTACTTTGATTAGTATTTTCATAGAGCAGGAATAACATACTTTTGTCAGCTTTCATATGATTAGCTATGATTGGGAATTTGTTTATGCAAAATGTTTTCCTTGCCAGTTTAGAGGAAAGGGGAAGGGAGAGGGAGGGCAAGGGAGTCATGTGCCTTTCCCCTTTCCTCGGCAGACTGTCTTGTGGTTCAACTCAGGAAATACCAATGATGAGAAAATACATAAAAGATACACACCATCGCTCCCCAAATGGTACATCATTTTGGTGTCAGATTAAAACAATATCTAGCAAAGTCAAGCTGGGAGAATTAAGCTCTCCTACCACAAATTAGACTAACAAGTACATCAACGTCTGTGACATCAACGTAGACTGTCACATTTAACTTGGCTTGGTGAGGCAGCTCTTCTACACCACTGATCAGGGCAGCCGATCTTCTGGGGGAAAGGCATATTGACTATTTGTTATTTATTTTCCATCAGAAGCACAGCAGCTGCAGCAATTTCTGAGCGACTTCTCTGGCACCAATTTGCTATCAGTCTTAGGTAATATTGACTGTACACACATTCCTATTAGGCTAACAGCTCCAAATGCAGCTAGCTATTCAAATAGAAAATCCTTTAATTTCTTGGCCCTGGTGGGGCTGTGTGATGCCAAATTTCAACTCTCTGTGGAAGACAGAAAGTCCTCAGGACATGAAGCATTTCTTGTCTCCTCTGGCAAATTGGCTGGGCTCGTTTGTTTTAAGTAAGCAATTACAAAAAGCAGCTTACGGAAATTTTAAAGTGAAATTAAAAGCAAAATTATTTCGCTGGTTACTATGCATGTGCTCCCTTCCGCTCTTGAGGGAGTCTGCTTTGGATGGAGCTGGATGTAATCAAGAGACTTTAACATAGGTGCCACATCCCAACTTGGAATTGGGGAAAATGTGTGATTGGCCACTGAAGAGGCGAGACTAGCCTTGAGGAGGAATTTTCAATGCAAAATCAACCCTATCTTACATTATTCTTTCTCTTAGAATTTTCATGGAATAATCTAAAAATAACACCTAGGAAGTTCTGTTAGGCAGTAGTCCTTTTAATGCCTCCCTGTTTAAAAGGAATAATATTCTAAGTTTAATTTGTTTTCCAAGAGAAGCAAAGAACATCATACCACTTAAGAGAGTTTCCCATATCAAATTAAAAATGTCAGACTCCATAATCATAAAGTATTGATCTCTCAGAATCAGACGTTGCCGTTGTCACGTCTCACAAGCATGAACATCTGCTCCATCTTTCACAATATGATTCTTCCCGACAATCAGACACTGCTGTCTTTGAGATCCAAGCTTAATTATACTGTTTTAAAGTCTTCATGATTGAACACACATGCACAAACATCTCCCTTACTTCGGCTTTAATCTTGTCTTTCCATTTCTCTGAACGTAATTTAAATGCAAAACTTCTCTCACGATTTTAGGCCACCATCCAGCTCTGTAACTCTTCTACTGTGGATTAATTCTACCTTCCTGGTATAATTCTCCATCCAGTAGCTCTTACTGATTAAAGAGCTATCTGCCTCTCAGAAAATGTAGAGGACAAACCGTGGCCTACTTTTCTTTGAGACGTTACACACAATCTATTCCATTATGTCAAAACTGAGTTAACTGACGCTGTACCGCGTTCATCACTTTCTAGATGATCATTCATTTTCATTACTAATTATACTCAGCAATTACTTTGTAAGAACTGTACCGATATGTTTGCAGCCAATTTTCAGAGCCATTATTTATCCCTCTGAAGTAGGATTCCCAGCCTAAATTGGGAAGTCCTGTGAATGCAGAAGTCAGAAATCACCTGGGCACCGTAAGGAAACTCTACTAAGGCCTGACTCCCCCTGCTACATCCATAGCTTGGGTATATGGCATTATTTGACAGCATTTTTCAGCCTAAAGATTTAACTGTCTTTCAGCATTGTTTTACATTATAAAGTATTTTTATAATATATTTGAATCTTGTCCGTCAGAGGAAGCTGAGATGTGACACAGTGTTCAGAGATAGGTCAGGAATAAGATGTAATGAAGTGGGATAGAGAGACATGGAGGGATGTTATGGAGATGAAGTGGGGCTCAGCACGGAGGGGAGTGGGCTACACTCCCAATATGGTACACAATAGGAAGTGTCATTGCTCATAGCCAATATAAAATACTGTCTGTTACATTGTAGCATTAGTGTTTGTGACAAGAAAATAGTATCTGAAAAAAAATCTTCACCTAGCCCAAGGTTTTGTTGTTGTTGTTGTTGCAAAAGCCCCTCCAGTCAGTTGTAGCAACCAAAATTTTCTTTGGAGCCTTAAATTTTTAGATGATCACTTATTTTCATAACTAATTCATCATTTCATTACTAAGACCATCTAAAGATTATCCAGTGGTCACTGGATGATAACCGTACTTGCAGTTGAAACTGTTGTTCTTAAAGTTTTCTTATTGTTTCATCTTATGTTTGACATCTCCTCTTGCCACATGACCCTTAAGACAAAGGGAAGGTTCTTTGGATTTTATGTACCCCACATACATGATCTATTACAAATGATTAAGGAGCGTTTAGTCATGTGATAAGGAAATCGATGATCCAGCAGAACTATGTCTATAAAGAGCAAGCCACAGCTCTGTTTTCCACATGAGAATGAGCAAATAAGCAACCACCACAGGCCCAGCATCCCTTTCCCCATTTGTTTGGGAAGGTTTCTCAGAAGTATGTGGTACTATCTGTCTACAGGACCATTCCTTTAACACTTAAAAACCTGTAGGCATAAAACCTCAAGAATGCTTAAAGCAAGACTTTTGAAGAAGGAAAACTGCTTTGAGATGTTCTCTTGGAGCCTTCCAGGTCCTCTCAAAAAAGATCAGAGTTGTCTTGCCTCTGACTATAGAATAAAAATACTTTATTTCTATTCTAATCCAGTCAGTGATCAATGATGAATCTCTGTATAGCGGTAAGTTACTTAAAGTTGACCTTTGTTTAGGATCCAGATAGAATTACATAGTGTGTGTCTATTTAGTAAAGTCTTTATTTCAAGCTTTATACATAGTAGTTGTTCTCTCAGATCGAGTTTATAGAAACAATAACTTTACATCTTATATTTCTTCGGACATCCTGGCCTTCCTCATTCTGATCACCTACTTGCTAAATTTCTTAGGAAATGAAAGATTCTGAAAAATCATAAAAGTTCCTATTATTTCCTAAACAGCATGCAAAGCTGTTGCATAATCTTAGAAAAAGATAGACAGGACAGACCTTACAAATATATTTAAATCTCTGAAATGTAGACAAGAATATGTAAATTGAAAGTAAATTTATTTTAGTGAACTGGCAAGAAAGGAAAAAATATAGGGCCATATGTTACCATTGGTTTTGCATATTTGGGGAGGGGGAAGCTCCTTAAGCCAGGCATTTTCAGGCCATAAAATGTCTTCCATAGGTAACCACAGGCTGGCAAAAAATAGCAGGCAAGTGTTGAAAGTTAGAAATGAGGACGATGCTTTTATTAGTGGCTGAACAAAGTGGGAAGTTGGTATGAGAGAAATGGAGATGAGGGTGGGATAAATTTACTTACATGAAAGTAGTATCCTTATGGAGGGCAACTATCCTTGAAACAAAAGTCCTTTGTCTCACCTTCATCCTTTCTGTTGACATTCCTCTGTTACAAAGGAAGAATTGGGAGAATAACCTACAATGTAGATGTTGGTCCTCTACCTCATCTACCTGTTGTGGCAATGAACCTAAGTTATCTCTGCATCATGGCTTGTTCCTGGGAACATGTCATATCACACAGGAAGTCAGCTTGCCTACTAGCCAGGCTACAAATAATAAATAACTTTCATTTTAATATGAATATTAAGCAACTTGAAAGCAAGACTTTCTGTGTTTTGGTAATAACCCACACTGCTACGAACTGCATCTTGTCAATAAACACACCATGACTTTCGGTGAACAAACCTGTGATAAACAACAACAGTATTGCAAATGTTCATTGTAGCTTTATGTGCTTCAATAGACGTCTCTGTGTGAGTATGGATATAACAGGACACTGTCTATGTCCATGAAAGATCGCAGGTTTCTCAATAGTGGCATGATTTCATGTGTTTGTGCTGTTATAGCATTGACAAAACGTCCTATTATGGCATATAGTACATTAATTCAGAAGTTAAAATTCCAACAGTTTCATAAGACAGAATTTTGCTTTTTAACTTAGGAAAACATATATAGGTAACTAAGCAAATCTCTAAATCTCTGTGTTTCAATCTATAAAATGATTTTAAAAAGTGCAGGTTACATTGGGCTCCAGAGATGTTAAATTGAAACGATACCATCATTCTGTGTTCTACATTGATCCTTCCTTTCCTTTTCCTCTTCCTCCTCCTGTTTCTCCCCTCCTTCCTCTCTTCCCCCTGCTCCTCCTCTTCTTCTTCAATGTTGACATTTGAGGCCATGTGTACTTCAATTTATATTTTATTTCCATAGTTGCGTTATTTTATTCAGTATTGTAAGAATCGTTTCCCCGTTAAGACAGAGAGGTTTTTATCTCATCATGTACTTGTAGTGTTGTTTGTTATGAACTCATCCATTGATGATACGTAGGTTGGTTCCACAATTTGGCTGTTGTGAAGAATGCCATGTTGCCAGGTTCTCTGGCAGAAAAGAGTGGGGACAGACTCTCCCTGCCCTGCCCCACCCCCGGCCACCAGGGAGAAACACACCCAGAGTCAGGAGTCTGTCAAAGCAGGATCTCCTTATCAAGCAGGGGCTTATATAGGGTTGTGATGGGGGTGGAGAAGCTTGGGATGTGTTGAGGCAGAGTAATGAACAAGGGTCAATAATATTCTGCCATGCTAGTGGTGACTGAGCAGAGGTGGGTCTAGGTTGGGTAGCCTACTCCAAACTCTAGCTAGGCTCAGGAAGTTACACTGGGCCTCATGAGGCCCAACACCTTGTGACTACAGAAGTGGTATTATTGCATCACATGATTTAACCAGTGTGTGTGTGTGTGTGTGTGTGTGTGTGTGTGTGTGTGTGTGTGTTTATAGTGAGGACTATGCAGTGGTTCACTATGTGATGAGAGAATTTTGTGCAAAGGGGTTCAGTGGATGGAGGGAAATCCTGTGCCAATATGGCTACAATTCCACTTCTTCTACCTGTTGCTTCAACAAATGTCCTCTTCTAATACCCAGAAATCCATGGGGCCTTGGATAATACAAGTAACAAAAGAAAAATTATGTTGACCTGATTCACTAGTGCGTTGTTTTACATACTGGTGCCAGTCACATAGGCCACTGAGATGAGGATAAAGTGAAATCCTGTAAAGATGGTTTCTGTTCGATGCACCATGTCTCTCCGACAGAAAGTATGATGGGAACACTTACAGCGGCATCTGCAGTGGAGTGTGCTATTTATGAGTTCCTCTCAAGGAGAATGTGTTAGACTTATTCTAGACCTTTCCCTTGGCTTAGCTATTACACTAATTCTTATTGTAATAACTTGAACAGAAAAAAGAATTCTGGCACCTCATCTACACTATTCCACATCCAAACTGACCTGTGCTTTGTGGCCCTTCTGCATTGATAGTCTTGGACAGTTGGGGAAATAGTAGACAAATAAACAAGACCAAAAAGACCAAGGAAATATGGCTTAACTTTGAATTTTTAGATTTGTGTTTTTACGTTATAATGCCTGTCTATAGAGGCCATGAAGAAAGAAATAAGCCATGGGATGAGTATGCTCTTAAAAGGAGATACAAGTGAAATGAAACTAGAAAAGGGGGTACTAGAAGAATGAAGGCTTAAAAGAGCATGGGGAAGGGAAGATGGGGTAAAGAAAGGCAGAAGGTTTAACAAAACTTATAATAAATGAAACAGAAACTTACTGTTTTATAAATTCACTAAAAATATAATTTAAAAGATTTTGAACACAAGTACCTTATATGGGTGGATAACATCCTTCCAGAAGCCGTAGGTTTTTAAATGAAAATCCCAGTGCCAAGTCAAAGGTCAAAGTTTATAGATGGGAAGAGCACAGGCCCTGGCAGGTGTTTATCACTGATATTTTGTTAAATGGACATGTAGTGAAACTGCCTTCAAAACATCTGTGTTTATACTTACAGACTAGTACCGCTCTTCAACTTGGACAGAGATTTTTCTTTTTATAGAGATGGGAGTGGCTAATGTAGATTGGTCCATGTGTTGAGAATAAGTGACTTCCAAACCCTAAATGAGACATCTATAATTCTCTGCATGACCAAAATAAGGAACAAAAAGATTGTAAAAGCCAAAAAATATGAAATAGCCATTGCAATCATAAACACACTCTAGTGATGTCTATTGCACAATACTGTGTGTGCACAAACACAGACACACCTACCCAATCCACCCACACACACAACATGAAAATGGGAATGAGACTAGCTAGGATGAGAGGTAGAAAGTGGTTAATGGGAATAAGAGTGAGAACAAAATAAGGTCGAAGGGGCTGAATATGATCACAAAGCATTATATACATGCACGAAACTGACAGAAATACAAATATAAATAAATTTAAAATAAAGAGAGGGAAAGAGAGAAGGAAGCAAGGAAGGAAAAGAAGGAAGGAATAAAGACAAACAGGAAAGAAAGGAAGAAAGGATGAATGAATAAAAGAGGGAAGAAAGGATGAATAAATGAATGAATGAATTCTGGCAGGCAGCACTCCCACCACCCACACATATGCCAACCCGGAGGAGCTACAAAACTAATCTGCCAAGCAAGGAATGCTGTGTTTGCAATAGTGGCATGACTGCTATGGGGTAACCAATTGTGTTCTCATTAGATTTTAGACCTGTTGTTGCACAAGAGGAAATAGGTGCCTAGTACTCTAAAAATGGGCAAAAACCTATGACTGAGAAAGTCTTCAGCCCTAGAGAAGAACCTACCACTACTATTTTGCTAAATTGAAATAGCATCAAATAGTTCTCTAAATATGTATACTTGTATTCACAGGCAAGGTTTATTCTCAGCGTTAGTCAGAAGTCTTTCTTCACAGTGTGTGGAAGTGACTAAGAAACCCATATTTGCACAAGATGCTGAGAATAAGGGACAGTTGAGTATTTGTCCCTAAATGAGACTTCTGTACACATTTGAAGGCTTAGGGAATATTACGAGAAAAGGAAACAGAAAGAATGGAAAAGTCAGGAGAAAGGAAGAGGCCTTCTAAACGCCACCTTCTTAGCGTAATACAGTCACGACAAATTTGAATTTCTTGCTCCTATGTCTAATGGCACAAGACCCATTCAAGTCAGGCTCACTTAAGAGCCAGCTGTAGATAATGAAAGGGCTCCCAGTACCTCACCCCATCTACTGATGAACTATTGCAACAACCGATTCTGGGAGACAGAGCAGCATAGTACTAGTTATGACAGGGTCACACAGATGGTCCTAGCTAAACTTGTGGGACACAAAACAAAATGTCAGGGAAATGGGAAAGAGGTTCATAATAAAGGAGGTCAATCAAGTTGGGAGAGAAATGAGAGAAGGTGCAGGGAACAGGTAGAGAATAATGCAATCTATTATATGCGTGTGTGAAACCGCCAAAGAAGAAAGCTTACCAAAACTAAAGAGAGAAAGAGAGAGAAAGGAAGGAAGGAAGGAAGGAAGGAAGGAAGGAAGGAAGGAAGGAAGGAAGGAAGGAAGGAAGGAAGAAATAAGGGCGGGAAAAATGAAGCAGAGACGGAAAGAGGGAAAGAGGGAGTGAGGAAGAAATAAAAGATAATGTGCTATCGGCCACCTGATTGTTAACTTAAGAACCTTAGGGAGAGGCAAGCTTCCATTATCAATTTAGAAAGTCATGCTGGTCAGAAAGAGTTCAGGGAGAGTTTGAAGACACCCACCAAATTTTACCATAAGCACAACTTGGAAGCACAAGGAAGCTGCACTCCCTGTTTATGAATTCAGCTCCCCCAGACAAGCTCCTTGCAGGCGGTCCCTTCTCTCGGGTTCTCCTGGTAGAAAGGAGGAGTTTCTCTTGGAGGAAAATCTGGGCTAGGCAGAGAGGAAATGATTATAGGAATCACAGTTCCTTATATAGATCGGGCTCTCTAATTTAATCATTATAAATGAGCAAGTTCAAAACAAGAAATGGCTGCAAACCAGTAATCTTACTGTCTCTGGCTGATTTTTTTGTACCTTAATCAAGAGATTTTGCATAGAAATGTACCCACAGATTGACATACAGACTGTGTGTAGGAAAGAAGTTCAGATGTAGAATCCTACTTCCCTGTTCTCTGTGTTGTGATACAGTCATTAGCAATGCCATTTAATAAAATATAATTATTGATAACAGCTACCATTTATAAAGTATTCTTTGTATTCCTGGAACAAAAGAACAAATCAAGTAGTTGTGTGTGTGTGTGAGTGTGTGTGTGTTCAGTACATGTATACATATGTGTCTGTGTATTTAATCATTCTTAAGCTTCATGTTTATGCCTGCTATTATTCTTTTCTGAATGAAAAATGTATGGACATCTCAATATTCATCTTGGCAAAACACATCCATTGTCAGCACAAGAGTTTAAACAAAGTCATTATACCAACAGCTGCCCGTCTTGCCTTGTATTCTGTCACTTTAATAAAATACCTTGCCCAACAGTAATACCATGCTGTGAAGGGAAAT